CAACAAACCAGTCTGGGGTTCTAAACCAGCAGCATGGTACCGGGGCAGAGCCTTTGAGCTCTGCAGCAGAGGCTGGTGCTCAGCACTCAGCTCTCACCGCAGGACCCTGCCCTCTCCCACGCTCCAGGATGCAGAGATGAAGCTCTGCTCATCGCCACTAAGCTGAGGCTCACACAGAAGCCGGGAGCACATGAAAAGGGCATCGCTGCTGTCAGAGGAGACGCACAAAGTAAAGCCCCGGAATTCAGCTGGATTTACTGAAGCTGTGCTGGGAACCACATGGAGCGGGACTGGCAAAGCACCAGCGCTGCTGTATCCTTCACCAGCTTCCAGCTCACCAGTGGTACAGCCAAACAGCATGTCCCAGAAGGCCGGGATAAGGGGGTGCTGGTGGCAGGGGACCAGCCTGTGTGCCCCGGGGATGGGCACAGGGTCTCCTTGGTTGATGTGGGTGGCACAGCACCACGAGCAGCAACAGGACAGCACCTTCTGCCCAGCACACTGGGAAAACTGAGGGGTATTCAGTGAGGTATCGCCCCCAGTGACATGGCATGTCACCCCAGAGGGAGCGGCTGCCACCCCTGCCAGAGATTCCTGCTTTAATCAAATAGAGTGCTCCAGCATAGAAATGTCGGGAGCTATGAACAGGATGTCAGGGCCGGGCTGGCTGCACCAAGAGGCAGGGGGAGCAGAGCAGTGACCCTGGACAAGCTGACGGGGCACAGTGCCGGAGAACCAGGGCAGCACTGGCACCCTGCAGGCGAGCTGCCTAGCAGGAGCAAGTCACAGCTCAATCAGAGCCAGTAACATCAGCTGGGAAACAGAATTTCTTCCTTCACAGCCCAGTGTAGGAGAATCACAGAAGCATCAATAAATCATTACTTCCTCTCTCCTTGCTAATAACACCAGCAAACAAAGGGTTTCCCTAGAGCCTGCTGCCAATTTCCTTCTGCCCCTGATGAGGACAGATCCAGAGCTCAGCCCTGCCTGGGGTGCTCCACATGCTCCCCATCCTGAGGCCGACGGGAAAGATCCTTTTCCCATGGCCAAAGCCAGGCTGTTCAGCAGCATCCTTCTGGGATGCCTCCTGCATCCCTAAGCATGAGCACAGCCATGCACATGTACACCCCAGCCCACATCACCTTCACCCACAGACCCAAGAGGGTCTCCCCAGAGACAGCACACAAGCACGGGACGTGCCTCTGCTTCCCGCACACGGGCTGATGAGATGCCAGCACTGCTGGCGTCCTCGTGCGGGCAGCGCGGTGCCTCTCCAGGGCTATCGAAGCCTTGTCCCCATCCCTCTTTGGAGTCCCCCTTCACGTTCCTCCAGTGCTGGTTAAACGCACTCACACAGAAGAACCTGCTCAACAGTCTAGAATAATCACCCCTTTTAGAACAGCATTTTCCAGACAAAGGTGCTGACAGCACAGACGGGCTGAGCCTCCCCATTTACGACAGTGGCCCATTAGCGTGTGGCAGGCTCGGCTTTGCCTCCACAGGAGGCTCATCCAAGAAAACAGGGTGATTTTCCCTCCTGCCTCCCAGTTTCTAGTGCTCAAAGGCATTTGCTCTTCTGCACGTGCCAGAGCCAGTGCTCTCGTGCCTGTGGCTCCTTCTGCAGCCCCGGTGGTGCCCAGGCAGCGCTGGCTCCCACCCTTGTACCCTTGCTCCGGCTCCCACAACACAACAACAAGAGACAGACCAAGTTTTGTCTGCAGTGACAGCTCAGTTGTCACACAGCTGCACCGACACTGCTGGAATCGGGGTATTTATCCACCACATGCACAGGCACGGCCTGGTTCTTTGTTACCCAAATCACAGCCCAACGCCACCTCTCAGGTCACAGCCTGTCCCCAGCCACCACCAGCCTGTCCACATGCTGTATCCTGCCAGGTTTAAACGATCCATTTACAAACATCAACTTGCCTTTCACGGCAGAGAGATGTACCAGGTACGAGTTCCCCCTTCTGAACCACACAGCTCATGCAAGTGGGCTGAGGTTTGGTTTTTGCATTGCTGAGGGAGATTCAACTCCTTTCTCTTCTTCTTTTTGCAGCCCCAATCAGAAATTTCCAGCCCCCAGGCTGTTGGCTCAGATATGCATGAACTTGTTCTTGTCAG